AATTATTATTATTATTATTATTATTATTATTATTATTATTATTATTATTATTATTATTATTATTATTATTATTATTATTATTATTAGTGATATTATAGATTTGTTAGAAAACTTATTATTTATCACTTTGTTAGGATTCTTGTCTTGTTAGACAAGTTAGTATTATTAGAGATCTTGTCTTGTTGGACAAGTTAGGAATAGGGTTTTGGAGTCTTATTTAAAGGGCTCATCATATATTGTTTTAGTCAGTTGATTTTGAATATGAAATAAGATATTGAAAGTTTTGCGTGTTTTACGAGAGAGTATCTCGTTTACTCGTTTATCCTTCCCATTCGTTCGCATTCCCTACATTAGTTGGTATCAGCAGTCAGTACGATCGCAATGTCGCCGGGACGAGAAGATGCCGCAAACAAACAACGTGAAGCAACCTTCAACGATCGGTTTTAACAAACTGACTATCAATTTGAAGAGGTGGACGTGCGTTTCACGGATTGGTTTGCAGATCTTTCGACGGGGATCGAGGATGTCTGTTTGACGCTGAACAATGTGATTATTGCGGATTTGTAGATGAACCGTGCCGCCGGCGACCGGGGTGTGCGCGGGGGAGTTCACGGAGGAAGTGGAGGTCGTGGTCCAGTCGGGGCGCCCCGTCGACGATCTTCACAACCACCGTCCGGCGATGCAGACGGCGAGGAGACCATCTTGGAGGTGGATCCCTTCGGAGAGTGGCCGCCTCCGCCTGTCGAGACTAAGCTCGTTGTTGTACACAACGGCCAACAAGGTGTGGTTTTTGAAGAGAATGACGGACTATTGTACGACGGTCTGCCTATTTTTGATGAGGAGCCACTTGTGGTGTCGATGGAGGACGAGTACCATGTGGTTGTAGAATCATCTATGAGGCCAGAGGTTGTGCCTGGAATGGATGTTTTCAGTGAATTGGAAGATGGATTTTCATGGTCTTTTATGCAACAAGCATATGTGTTTGATAACTCGCATAGTGTGCCCAAAAAGGACAAAGTGGAGAGTTGCTGCCATAGATTTTCTGCTTGTGGGTATACCAAGTTCATGGCCCGTCAAATTGGCCCGATCGGGATTGTGGAGCAGTTGAAGATGAGATTACTTCGGATTCGAGGGCGAATCCTTTTCGACAGGGGGAGAATGATGGAGATAAAGATGTTTAGGATCTTTAATTATTATTATTATTATTATTATTATTATTATTATTATTATTATTATTATTATTATTATTATTATTATTATTATTAGTGATATTATAGATTTGTTAGAAAAATTATTATTTATCACTTTGTTAGGATTCTTGTCTTGTTAGACAAGTTAGTATTATTAGAGATCTTGTCTTGTTGGACAAGTTAGGAATAGGGTTTTGGAGTCTTATTTAAAGGGCTCATCATATATTGTTTTAGTCAGTTGATTTTGAATATGAAATAAGATATTGAAAGTTTTGCGTGTTTTACGAGAGAGTATCTCGTTTACTCGTTTATCCTTCTCATTCGTTCATGCTTTCCGCTACATCACTATAGACAAATGATGAAGGATCGGGTGTTCGTGTCCTCGACTTGTCTCGATCACGGCTTCGCCACGGCCTTGCTCTCGACGATAGGTGTGATCGACTCGGTTATTAGCCTAACTCTATCACGATACTTGAGTTCACTTGGTTATTAGCCTCGTTTCACTCGCGAAATAGATCGGGTCTTAGCCTCTCTAAATCGTTGAATTGGCTTGGGTCTTAGCCTCACCAATTCGATTTGTATGATCGAATCTCACGACTCTCAACACACGGTTTGAACTAACGTTCTTTTCTATTCCATTCATAGACTCCTAATTATGAAGAGTACATGGGGTATTTATAGGTGCAAAATAAATCTAGGCCTAATCAAACTAGATCTCCTATTCTATGCAATAAAATAAATCCTAATTCTACTAAATCTCTAATTAAAGCAATTAAATATTAACTAACCTAATATTCTAGATACTATTGTGCAAGAAGGAAACTAAATATATCAAAGTCCTAAATTGACTAGATCTTGATCTTGCTTGGCTTGCACTCCAAACAATTCCCAACTCTTGCCCAAGTCTTCGGCCGCCATGTACGCGTCGCGCGCCTGTGATGAAGGATCGGATGTTCGTGTCCTCGACTTGTCTCGATCACGGCTTCGCCACGGCCTTGCTCTCGACGATAGGTGTGATCGACTCGGTTATTAGCCTAACTCTCTCACGATACTTGAGTTCACTTGGTTATTAGCCTCGTTTCACTCGCGAAATAGATCGGGTCATAGCCTCTCTAAATCGTTGAACTGGTTCGGGTCTTAGC